GCTCAAGAGAAGGATGGAACAGAAAGCACAATAAAACATATAGAGGTTAGAAATGAATAAAAAAAGAACATGAAATAGAAATAAAAGGGTGAAAAAGATTAAACATACCAGGATCAATTATGAAAGACTTTGAAGTGGACTAAAAAGATTATTGGGCATCTTCAACAAAAAAACTCTGCTTGAAGTGTAGTGAAAGCTAAGCACCACCTTGTGGATTGCTCTCTCCTGGGTCTGGGCCTTTCATTGTCTTTGTGCTATTTTATAATCTTGTAAAGGGCAGATAACCAATAGCAATGCAAGTGATTTTTATATGCAAGTGAACTCTTTATGATGGAAGGAACCATTGATGCCCCATTGTGGTGAGCAGAATAATGGTCCTCTGAAAACTAGCATCCTAATTCCTGTAATTTGTGAATGCCTTTCTATGCAGATATGATTATCTACACATGCAAAAGAATGTAGGTGGGCCTTTATCTAGTCATATGCAAAAATTAAGTCAAAATGGGTAACAGACCTAAAATGTAAGAGCCAAAGCTATAAAACACTTAGATGAAATCACCGGGGAAATTTTCATGACATTGGATTTTGCAATAATTTCTTGGATATGACACCAAAGGAACAGGGAACAAAAGAAAAAATGGACAAATTGGATTTCCATCAAAATTAAAAATATTATTTATTTATTTATTTGAGAGAGAGAGAGAGAGAGAGAACGAGTGAGTGGGGGAGAGGGGCAGAGGGAGAGAAAGAATCTTAAGCAGGTTTCATGCTTAGCACAAAACCCAGCACAGGGCTCAATCCCACAGTCCTTGGATCATGATCTGAGCTGAAATCAAGAGTTAGACATTTAATCAACTGAACCAAACAAAATTAAAAACTGAATCAATAAAATAAAAAGGTAGCCCACAGAGTGGGAGAAAATATTTGGAAATCTCCTATCTGCTATCTGGATTGATATCCAAATTATATGGAGAACTTCTTCTTCTTCTTCTTTTTTTTTTTCAAATAGTTTATTGTCAAATTAGTTTCCACATAACACCCAGTACTCATCCCCACAAGTGTCCTCCATATGGAGAACTTCTAACACTTAAAGCAAAAAAGTCAAAAAAAGTCAAACAACTCAATTCAAAATTAGGCAAAGAACTTGGATAGACATTTCTCCAAAGAACATATTTAAATGACCAGTAAGCACATGAAAAGATACCTAATATCAATAGTCACAAGGGAAATGCAAATAAAAACAGCAATGAGATACCACTTCACACCCATTAGAGTGGCTATGATAAAGAACAAACAGAAAATCCTTGTGCATTGCTGGTGGGAATGGAAAATGGTGCAGGCACTGTGGAAAGCAGTGGGGCAGTTCTTCAAAATATTAGATGTGGGATTATTATTTGATGCAGCAATTTCACTTCTGAGGATATACACAAAGAATTGAACAAGAACCTGAACAGATATTGTACATCATGTTCATACAGCATTACTCCCAATAGCCAAAAGGTGGGAGCAACCCAAATGTCCATGAATGGATGAATGGGTAGACAAAATGTGGGTATATTCAGACAACAAAATATTATCAGCTTTAAAAAGGAAGGAATTTCTGATACTTGCTACAACATAGATTGAAGACATTTTGAAGTCAGACTGAAGTCAGATAAACCCGGCACAAAAGGATAAATACTATGTGATTTTGCTTTTATGAGATACCCAGAGTAGTCAGTTTCATAGAGACAGAAAGTAGAACAGTGGTTCCAAAGGGCTGGGAGCAGGAAGAAGTAGGGAACTAGCCTTTAATGGATAGAGTGTCAGTTTGGAATGGTGAAAATGTCCTGCAGATGTGTAGTAGTGTTGGTCACACAAAACAAATGTACTTGATGCTACTGAACTGTACGCTCAAAAATGGCTATAATATGGGGGGTGTCTGGGTGGCTCAGTCAATTAAGCATCTAACTCTTGATCTGAGTTCATGTATTGATCTCAGGGTCGTGAGTTCAAATCCCACACTGGGCTCCACACTAGGTGTGAAGCCTACTTAAAAAAATTGGTTACAATGGTAAATATTGTTTTGTATATTTTTATCACAATAAAATAAATAAATTAAAAATTATCTTATAATAAAAAGTGATATGTAGAGAAGACCAGTAAGAGAGACCCAATAGAATCTATTTATTTTATTTTATTTTTTCAATATTTTTAAAATTTATTTCTAGGAGAGAGAGAGAGAGACAGAGTGAGCAGGGGAGGGTCAGAGAGAGAGGGAGACACAGATTCTGAAATAGGCTCCAGGCTCTGAGCTGGCAGTCAGCACAGAACCCGACGCGGGGCTCGAACCCATGAACCGCAAGATCATGACCTAAGCGAAAGTCGGACGCTTAACCAACTAAGCCATCCAGGCGCCCCCTATTTATTTTTTTTTAATTCAAGTTAGTTAACATATAGTGTAGTATTGGTTTTAGAAGTAGAATTTAGTGATTCATCACTTACATATACTACCCAGTGTTCAACACAAGTGTCCTCCTTAATGCCCGTCACCCATCTAGCCTATCCCTCTACCTCCTCCCTTCCAGCAACCTTCAGTTTGTTCTCTGTATTTAGGAGTCTCTTATGTTTTGCCTCCCTCTCTGTTTTTATCTTATTTTTCCTTCCCTTCTCCTGTGTTCATCTGTTTTCTTTCTTAAATTCCACATATGAGTGAAATCATATATTTGTCTTTCTTTGGCTAATTTCACATAGCATAATACATCCTAGTTCCATCCATGTTGTTGTAAATGGCAAGATTTCATTCTTTTTGATGTGACCAAGTAATATTCTGTTGTATATATACACCACTTCTTTATCCATTTATCACTTGATGGACATTTGGGCTCTTTCCATAATTTGGCTATTGTTGATACCACTGCTATAAACATTGGGGTGCATGTGCCTCTTTGAGTCAGCATTTCTGTATCTTTTAGATAAATACCTAGTAGTGTAATTGCTGGGTCATAGGGTAGTTCTATTTTTAATTTTTTGAGGCACCTCCATACTGTTTTCCAAAGTGGCTGCACCGGTTTGCATTCCCGCCAGCAGTGCAAAAGAGATCTTTCTCTACATCTTCTCCAGCATCTGTTGTTGCCTGAGTTGTTAATGTTAGCCATTCTGACAGGTGTGAGGTGATATCTCATTGTGGTTTTGATTTGTATTTCCATGATGATGAGTGATGTTGAATATCTTTTCATGTGTCTGTTAGCCATCTGGATGTCTTATTTGGAAAAGTGTCTATTCATGCCTTTTGCCCATTTCTTCACTGGATTATTTGTTTTTTGGGTGCTGAGTTTGATAAGTTCCTTATATGCATAATTGGAATCTACAGGAAAGAAACCAAAACAGTGAATCAGAACAAACATTTAAAAAATAATTTAAGAAAGCTGCCAGGAAACACAGATTTTAGTCTATACATTGAGAATGCACAATATATTCCAGGGAAAATTGACAAAGAATGTCAATACTGCTACCTGTCTTAGAAAATGATTGGAATTTAAAGATAAAGGAAGACTCTTGCACAGTCAGGCAAAAATGTTATTTGATGGAAAGAAAACCTAGTTGGCATCACACTTCTCCATCAGTCAAAGTCAACACAAAGTCAGAAGACAGTGTGGAAACAGCCATAAGATTGCCAATAAAAGAAAATGTGAGCCAAGGCTTTTCTAGCTAAATTAAACTGTATGAGGGCTAGAAAGTATGAAGCATTCAATAACTTCAAACACAAGGTTCACTTGAGCACTTGCCTGAGAATCTATACAAGGTTCACTAAGCATGAGATGACAAGAAACTCGAGCAAAAAGTCTGTCTGATGGTGAGTATTGGGTATGAGTAATTGACGAGCTAATGCTAATGTCATATGTCCTGACAATGTAGATAGAATCAACTTACAAGACACGAGAGGAAAAGGGATAGTAGAATAAAAAAAAGGTGTAGAATGAATAAACAAAAAAGTAGAAAGTAGAACAAACTTGTGGGCTGCTTTGTATGTAATATAGTTCAAGATATTTAAAAAAACTATTTATTATTTATTTTTTAAATTAAGCTTTTTTATTTTGATTCCAGTATAGTTCACATATAGTGTGATATTAGTTTCAGGTATACAATATAGTGATTTAACACTTCCATACATGATCGAGTGCTCATCATGACAAGTGCCCTCCTTAATCCTGACCATCTATTTCACGCATCCCCCCTGCCCACCTCCCCTCTGGTAACCATCAGTTTGTTCTCTAAAGTTAAGATGTAAAGGTATTATTATTTTTTGTGGGGCGCCTGGGTGGCTCCGTTGATTAAGCTTCCGACTTCTGCTCAGGTCATGATCTCACAGTTTGTGGGTTCAAGCCCCGCATCAGGCTCTGTGCTGACAGCTCAGAGCCTGGAGCCTGTTTTGGATTCTTTCTCCCTCTCTGCCCCTCCTGGCTTGCACTCTGTCTCCCTCTCTCAAAAATAAATAAATATTTAAAAAAATCGTTAAGGTACGATTATTTTTTAAATTTTATTTGAAACAGAGGGGAGAGAGAGAGAGAGAGAGAGAGAGATAGCGCAGAAGTGGAGGAGGGGGGCAGAGGGAGAGAGAGAATCCCAAGCAGGCTCCATGCTCAGCACAGAGCCTGATGCAGCGCTTGATCCCATGAAACAGATCAGGACCTGAGCTGAAATCAAGAGTCAGGCGCTCAGCTGACTGAGCTACCCAGGTGCTCCAAGAGTTAAAGGTATTTTTAAAACTAACTAACCAAGTGGTAAGATTTTAAGCATATTTAAGAAGGCAAAGGTAAACAAAGATAAAGAAAGCATTAGGCAAACAAAGGTAAAGAAAAAGAAACCCGATGCCCTAAATTGGGATATAGAGAATAAGGAAGAAAAAGGAAAGGGGGGGGTCTATGAGCTTTTTTTCCCCTTCCTTTTCTTCATAGTGGGAAGTAATGAACACCTGAAACAGGAGGGGGCAAGAGTTGTTATATAAAGATTTAACACCTGAGTATTGCTCATGGCCTGTTAGTCTAGCCATGGCTGATGGGCTCCATTCCGGTGGTACAACAGCTCCAGCAACACATGACTGACTTGTGGCTCTCAGTTTCAGGTCCTGGGGACACAGGGCTGGGTGGGGGTGGGGGGGAATGAGAAATATTTAACATATAAGTTTATGCATAATTTTAGCTTATTAAAAAATTTTAAAAAGAATGTTTATTCATTTATTTTGAGAGAGAGAGGGAGAGAGCAAGCATGGAGGAGAGGCAGAGAGAGGGGCGCAAGCAGGCTCTGTGCTGTAAGTGCAGAGGCTGACTCTGGGCTTGATCTCACAAATTGTGAGAGGGGTGCCTGGGTGGTTCAGTCGGTTAAGTGTCCAACTTTGGCTCAGGTCATGATCTCACGGTTCATGAGTTCAAGCCCTGCATCAGGCTCTGTGCTGACAGCTCAGAGTCTGAAGCCTGCTTTGGATTCTGTGTCTCCCTCTCTCTTTCCCTCCCCCACTCATGCTCTGTCTCTCTCTGTCTCAAAAATAAATAAAACATTAAAACAACAACAACAACAAATTGTGAGATCATGACCTGAGATGAAATCAAGAGCTGGATGCCTAACTGACTGAGCCACCCAGGCGCCCCTAAAATTTTTTTAAAATTTAAGTAATCTCTATACCCCACATGGAGCTTGAACTCAGGACCGCGAGATCAAGAGTCACATGCTCCTCCAACCGAGCCAGCCAGGTGCCTTTTATGCATAATTTTAGTATCAGTAAAATTAAAATGCAAACCTCGCCAAAGTTAGAATAAAATGAGCAAACTGACTACATACTAAAATAATCTAATATATATGTAATAGGTAAGTACAACATTATATAAGAACTAAGAAGAAATGTACTTCATATCAATAAATATAAATGCATTGGGACGCCTGGGTGGCTCAGTCAGTTAAGCGTCTGACTTCGGCTCAGGTCATGATCTCAGGGTTCATGGGTTCGAGCCCTGTGTCGGGCTCTGTGCTGACAGCTCGGAACCTGGAGCCTGCTTCAGATTCTGTGTCTCCCTCTCTCTGTTCCTCCCCGCTCACGCTCTGTCCCTTTCTCTCTCTCAAAAATGAATAGACATTAAAAAACTTTTTAAAGTATTAAATGAGCCAAAGAAGGATATTTTATGATGCTGAAGTTTATAATTCTCAACAAAGATATAATAATTACGAATATCTATACACCAAGTAGCAGCAAATGTTGGAAAAGCTGGATAGCCATTTGGAAAAATACAAAACTGGAGTCATACCTCACAGTGGTCATGAAGATAAGTTTCAAATGGATCAAAGATTTGAATTCAAAAAGTGAAATCATAAAATTACTAGAAGCTCACATGGCAAATTTCTTTATCACCTTTGAAATGGGGATATCCTTTCAATCATTCAAAGTTAAAAGCCATCAAATAGGTCTGATAAATTTGATTATATTAAGACGAATTTTCCATTCTGCTTCTGGGGAAGATGGAATAGATATACTTTCCCTATTCCTCCAAAGCACAACTAAAACTCTTAGAAAACAAATATAAGGTGGAGAGATAAAGGCGGACTGACGAAAGTTCTCAACAAAGCCCTCCATCTGTGGCTAAAGGACTAGGAGAGAGACAGCCTAGCAAGACAGAAAACTTTAAGACAATAGCTACTCTACTTCTGCCACACTCTACGGGAAAACGATCCCTTTCCCTCTCCCTTCCCCCACTGCCATCATCAAAGACTGTGTGAAGAGCCTAGACTTCCATTCTCTCCTGACTGTAACTGAGGGACCCTAATCTATGCCCTCATCACTGGGTGGTGTTGGACAAGCCAAGTGAGGAGCCAAGACTTGTGTCCCTGCTGGATGCAAACAAAGCAATGAAACCCCAGCACCCCGCTCTAACAGCGGAGACCTTGGGGAGCCTGGACTTCCACCTCTACTCAGCAGTAACAGGGTACCCCTTTGCCTGTTTATTAGGGGGTGGGTATTGGAGGAGACATAGGAGAGAATCAGGAATCCAACCACGTCTCAGCAGTAACGAGGCCATCCCCTCAAGGTGTCAGTGGAGGCCTGCGGGCAGCACTAATGGGGCACCCCTCCCCCTCGGGGCTGGGTGATACCCATAGAGGCTTAGTTAGGAGGCTGAACTCCCATCCCTGCCCAGCAGTATCAAGGAGCCCCTTCCCCACTAGGAAGACATGTTAACCCTAAATGTGTATATATCAAACAGAACCGTAAAATATGCATAGCAAAAACTAAAACAAACAAAAAAGTTCTTGGGGCGCCTGAGGTGCTCAGTCGGTTAAGTACCAAATTCAGCTCAGGTCATCATCTCCAGGTTTGTGAGTCTGAGCCCCGCATTGGGCTCTGTGCTGACAGCTCAGAGCCTGGACCTGCTTCAGATTCTGTGTACCCCTCTTTCTCTGCTCCTCCCCCATTCATGCTCTGTCTCTCTCTCTCTAAAATAAATAAACATTAAAAATTTAAAGAGAAAAGCTCCACAGTGATGGTTGGAGATTTTAACACCCCTCCTCAACAATTAATAAGACAAATTAGACAGAAAATCATCAAAGATCTGGAAGAATTCAACCATACCACCAACCTACAAGATGTAATTGACGTTTATACAACAGTCTGCCCAACAATAGCAGAGTACACATTCTTCTCAGGCACCCACAGGTCAGACACCAAGGTAGACCATATCCGGTGCTATAAAACAAACGTCAAACATGTAAAATAACTGAAACCATACAGAATGTCTTCTCCATCTCTACTGGAATCAGACTAGAAGTCACTAATAGAAAAATAACAGGAAGTCTCCAAACACTTGGAAACAAAGCAGTGCACTCCTTTTTAAAAATTTTAAAAAAAAATTTTTTTTTAGTTTTGAAGGAAGAGAGACAAGGCATGAGTGGGGGAAGGGTACAGAGAGAGGGAGACACAGAATCTGAAGGACGCTCCAGGTTCTGAGCATAGAGCTTGACATGGGGCTCAAACTCATGAACCACGAGATCATGACCTGAACTGAAGTCGGATGCTTAACCAACTAAGCCACCCAGGTGCCCCTAAACAGACACTTCTGAACAACTCCATGGATCAAAGAAGAAATCTTAAGGGAAATTTAAAAAAAACTGAAAAGGAAAATATAATATGAAAATTTTCAGGATAAAGTTAAAGCCATGATGGAAAAAAATTTACTGCACTAAATGTTTACATTAAAAGAGAGGGAGGGAACATCTCAGATCCATGCTCAAGTTCTCACTCAAGAACCTAGAAAAATAAGAGCAAACTAAATCCAAAGCAAGCAGAAGGAAGGAAATAATAAAGATAAGATCTGAAATCAATGAAATTGAAAACACAGAATGATAGAGAAAATCAATAAAACAAAAATGTGGTTCTTCTTGAAATGATCAATAAAATTGACAAAGAATTGGCAAAGATGACAAAAAAAAGAGGGAGACGCAAATCACTAATACCAGGAATAAGACAGACCCTGAAGGCATACTTGAATAATAAAAAGTACTTGAATAATAGAAAGGAAATACTACAAACAATTCCATATGGGTACATTTGACAACTTAGATGAAATGGACCATTTCCTTGAAAACACAAATTCCACAATTCACTCAATATGAAATAGTTAATATAAATAGCTCTATCACTATTAAGGAGATTAAATTCATAATTTAAAAACTCCCCCCCCCCCCAAAAGAAATCTCCAGGGCCAGAGGATTTCACTGGTAAATCCTATCAAACATTAAAAATGTTTTTTAACATTTTAAATTTAGTTTTGAGAGACAGAGAGCAACAGAGCATAAGGTAGGAGTGGCAGAGAGAGGGACACAGAATCTGAAGCAGGCTTCAGGCTCTGAGCTGTCAGCATGGAGCCTGACATGGGGCTCAAACCCACAAACTGTGAAATCATGATCTGAGCCAAAGTTGGACTCGTAACCAGCTGAGTCACTCCAGAGCCCCTCAATCAAACATTTAAAGAATAATTAACATCAATTTTACACAGTCTCTTCCAGAAAATAGAAGAGAGCACTTCCTTACTCACTTAATCAAGCCACTTTTACCCTGATACCAAAACCAAAGACAGTGCCAAACAAGTGACAAAAAATTAAAAACAACAAAGACAACTATAGACTAGTACATATGTAATGTGTCACATCATGTATTTAGATAGTGTATATATCCCACATGTATATAGATGCAAAATTCTTTCCTCACTGTTAATTTATCTTTATTTCTTAATTTCAGCTTTATTAAGGTATAATTGATATGTAAAATTGTAAGATATTTTAAAAATTCTTTTAAAAAATAAACAAATAGAATTTAGCAGTATATAGAAGCAATTATATACCATGACCACGTGGGGTTTAATTCCAAGGATGCAAGGTTGGTTCAACATTCAAAAATCAATTAAAGCAGGGTGCCTGGGTGACTCAGTTGGTTAAGCTTCTGACTCTTGGTTTCAGCTCAGGTCATGATCTCATGGTTGGTGAGTTTGAGCTCCATATTGGGCTCTGTGCTGATGGCATGGAACCTGCTTGAAATTCTCTGTCTGCACCCCCCCCCATAAATAAATAAACATTTAAAAAATCAGTTAATGCAATCTGCCATATTAACAAACTAAAGAAGAAAAATCACATGATCATATCAAATGACATAGAAAAAACACTTGGCAAATTTCAACATCCATTCATAATAAAAACTCCCAAGTAGCTAGAAATAAGACGAGCTTTTCTTATCTTTTTAAAAAAGTTTTTTTTAACGTTTATTTATTTTTGAGAGAAAGAGAGCGTGAGCAGGAGAGGGGCAGAGAGAGAGAGGGAGGCACAGAATCTGAAGTAGGCTCCAGGCTCCGAGCTATCAGCACAGAGCCCGACGCGAGACTTGAATTTACAAGTGGTGAGATCATGACCTGGGCTGAAGTTGGACACTTAACGGACTGAGCGACCCACACTTAATGGTGAAAGATTAGATAATTTCCTCTTATGATCAGAAACAAAGCAAGCATGTCTGTTCTCACCACTGCTGTTTGGCATAGTACCAGAACTTCAGCCAGTGCAAGTCAAGAAAATGAAATAAAAGGTATATCACTGGAAAGAAAGAAGTAA